ATGTCTTTTAAGTGTTGTTAAAAGGAATGGCAATGTTACAAAGTGGTATATGTTTTAATGTTCACACTTTTTATAAATTTATTGCAAGAACCAAAATTGGAATACATGAAATATACAATGAAATATGAAAATAAATTTAGAAATCACTTTCTTTTTTTGTTTGCATTTTCCATACTGTCCCAACTTTTTCTGATGGTTTGGGGTTGTAGGTATTAGTCATCAAAATTAGGCTTTTTCTTACAAACTTTTACATTTTTGATGTTCCACTACCAGATATTTAGAATATCTTTTAATACCTCTTACTAACATCTTATTAAAGAGCAGTTTAAATCATTTCCCAAACAACGGCTGCTAAATTAGTAAAATAAATGACCAAATTACCAGATTACTCACATGAATATAGACATACTCACATTGGGAGGTGGCATAATCACTTTCCTATTGGGCTGAATACGTCCATCATCCAGGAATTTAAAGAGCATTAATTCTGTTTAGAATAAAATGAATATTTCAGTGTGAATGCGCTACTTACATTATTTACACTACAAAATAATATAGAACAGTGCACAAGTATCTAATTTGGGATGGACAAATACTTTACATGGTTGAGCGAGCAGGTCCATAAGTGAATAGTACATAAGTCTATAGTGTGCCATTTGGCCACACTATACACTTAAAAAGTGCATAGTTTGGTAACTAAAATGTCCATAGTGCACATGTTGTTGAATGGACTAGAATAGTGCATTAATATTCATTCATTTTCTTGTCGGCTTAATCCCTTTATTAATCCAGGGTCGCCACAGCGGAATGAACCGCCAACTTATCCAGCAAGTTTTTACGCAGCAGATGCCCTTCCAGCCACAACCCATCTCTGGGAACATCCACACACACTACGGACAATTTAGCCTACTCAATTCACCTGTACAGCATGTCTTTGTACTGTGGGGGAAACCTGAGCACCACGCGAACCACGCAAATGCAGGGAGAACATGCAAACTCCACACAGAACTGAGTCGAGGCTCGAACCAGCGACCCAGCGACCTTTTTGCTGTGAGGCGACAGCACTACCTACTGCACCACTGCTTCGCCTAGTGCATTAATATGCAATTCATAATATAGGTCTTAAATAGCATATATATATTTTAGTTATCATAAGTCTTTAAGTAAAACTTCAGTATTTTTGTACTTATTTAGTTATATAAAAAAGCCTTTAGTTACAAACTTCTGCAGTTTTGAGATACCAATATTAACACTCCAAGTACTAAAATGTGCTTTTTGGTCACCTTTTGAAAAGGTACTGGCCCGGTGACAGCTTTTTATCTTAATTTCTGGATGCATGCCTGTGCGTGTGTGTGTGCATGTGTATGTGTCTGTGGTCCACGGCTCTAGTCTGAGAGGTCAGAGGGGGCAGCTCTGGAAAGCCGCAGGCTTAGGCGTCAGGAAATTAAACATGAAATGTAAACAAACTCCAGCCTGAAACATTCTCCCCTTTCACTTTCTAACATCCTTATTTCCCTTTAGAATTTGAGACTGAAGAAAAGAGAGAAAAAGCTGCATTAGAGAATGATGAAAAAACCTGCTGAGAAATGCTGTAGCAGACATAATTGGGTTAGACACCCATGATTGTGATTTAAAAAAAAAGCTGAATTAACAAACTAACAATTGTGGAATACAAATTGTCAAATGCATGAAATATGTTTCATTTGTCTTAAAAAAAGGAGATCTCTGTTTCTGTGTGGAGTTTGCATGTTCGTGTGGGTTTTCTCTGGGTGCTCCGGGGAATTGGTTAGGCTAAAGTGTCCGTAGTGTGTGAGTGTGAATGAGTGTGTATGGATGTTTCCCAGAGATGGTTGCAGTTGGAAGGACATCCGCTGCGTAAAACATATGCTGGATAAGTTGGTGGTTCATTTCGCTGTGGCGACCACGGATTAATAAAAGGACTAAACCGAAAAGAAAATGAAGGAATGAATGTCTTAAACAAATCTAAAAATATTGAATTGTGAGATATAAACTCTCACTGCTTTGTTGTGAGAAACAATTGCACAAAAATAGATATGAAAAATAATAAAATGTTAGCTCAAGAATTGCAAGATATAAACTCGTAATTGCAATAATAAATTTGTAATTATATTATTTACAATTATATAAAAAAGGGCTGCATAGTGACGCAGTGGGTAGCATGATTGCCTCAAAGCAAGAAGGTCGCTGGTTCGAGCCTAGGCTGGGATAGTTGGCATTTCTGTGTGGAGTTTGCATGTTCCCCCTGCGTTCGTGTGGGTTTGCAAAGACATGTGGTATAGGTGAATTGTGTAAGCTAAATTGTCCTTAGCGTATGTGTGTGAATAAGTGTGTATGGATGTTTCCCAGTGATGGGTTGCAGCTGGAAAGGCATCCGCTGCGTAAAACTTATGCTGGATAAGTTGAGTGAATTATAAAAAATGCAAGATATTAAGTCTCAATTCTGTAATATTACCAACTTCATAGCTTAGCAATTTGTAACGTTTTTATTTATTGGCTAATTCATATGAATTCTATGATATTATTTATAGATTTTAGTACAATTTGCTCATCCCCCTTGACAGTTGGTTTTAGGGGTGGGTTTTAAAAGCCTTGTTTTTAAAATCATACATTTCCATATGGATGACATTGTATGAATTAGACACTTTTTTTTACCAGTACATAAAATAGTTATATTTTCTTAAGATCAGGATGAATATATTGTAAATATGTAATTCTAAAAAAGTAAAAAGTAAAATATATACCTGATATAAATGTTTATGTTAGAAACTTAAAAAGCAGTTTTGACACACACACACACACACACACACACACACACACACACACACACACACACACACACACACACACACACACACACACACACACACACAGACACACACACACACACACACACACACACACACACACACACACACACAAAACTGAATTGCAAGATGTTAACTTGCAGTTGTGTGGAAAAAAAAGATAAATTCTCAAGCTTAGTGAAAATTGAGTAAACTATAACTTTTGATCTCCACTTTGATTTTTGTATAAACATACAGTTGTCATAAAAATAAACAAAACAAAACAGAAAATGAACTGTGAGATGTTCCCTTATATTTGCATATATTTGAATTAAATTCTGAATAGAAATATATGAACAGAATTTTGAGTTATACACTATTTACAATATAATTTACAGTAGACATACTTACAATTGAGGGAATTGAATTACCATATATGATTCTAATTAAAAAAATGCTTGAATTGCAAGAAATAGTCAAAATTGTGAGAAAAAATGTTGCCTACTTTTTTTTATACTTCTTTCAAGCTAAATTCTTTTAAAAGTAACAACATAACAACACATATTATTGCTCATTATCTCTGGTTACACTAATTGTTGTAGACCAAAGAAAAACAATATAAATATCCAGAGGCACAGGATTAAATTGCAGAGATTCTCAAAACAGATGACATGATCATAACGGCACTTGGATATCAAGAGCAGGTCATGACATCGGCCTGAAAGATTTAGTTTCTTTATATAGTGTTATCCACATACAGTAGTTTACAGCTAATTCAAGCAATTTTGAAAGTCAAATAAAGTGCTATTTGAACATTTTATGGTTTCCTGTTCTTGTGACATCAACATGCCCATACTTTTTGCAATCCTGCCATAAGGGGCTCTTGGGGTTTAAGGAAGCTCTAATGTGACTGGATGGAGATTCATCCTACAATCCAAGTTCAATCTCACTGACATTGCCCTTTCAAACAGGCAATAAAACATACGCAAGAATAAATGCTTGTGTGAACACAATATTTAATACCAATATTTATATAAGAACAATATTTATAAAATTAACAACAAATATGAACACTTTTAGAATATTTGTCAAGAAAATAAAATGGTTCTCTGTCATATTTTTAAGTGACAGTTATTGTTATTGTTCAGAGAGAAACAAATTTTCTAAATATGACTTGATTGGAATCTAAAACTTGGAATTTGACTTTCTTTCTTCTGTTAAATATGGAAGATTTTTTAACAGTTTTGGAAAACAATTAATTTCCATAACACTTACAAGTATCAATTCTAGTCACTAGTGACTTATTACCTGCCTACTACTATTGGCTGTTTATTAGGACTGATCTTATTCTACATCACTAATCCCTAATTGAACACCTAAACATAACAACTACTTTGATAAATATTAATAAGCAGCAAATTAGGCAAAAGTCATAATTAATGGTTTATTAATAGTGAGAACTGTACCTTTAAATAAAACGAGAACCATAGTTTCAGTTCCCATTGACTTCCATTGTAATTTGTGGCCATACATTGGAAGTCAGTGGGAACCGAAACTGTTTGGTTTCCAGCATTTCTTCTCTCAAGTTTTAAAGAAAGAAAATCATACAGAAGTTCAAACCTATACAGTTTAAAAACTCAATGCAACCAATTGAGACCAAAATACAACATTGTGTTTCGTAAAAATTGAGAAACCAATAAAAAAAGGATCTTTATTTACTAAATGATGAAATCTGAAAACATATGTTGAGGTCTGCAGGCTGTCTGCTGTGGTTTTAGGGTTGTTGGTTTGTGTCACGGTGCACTAACAGCGGATCATTTTGATTGATGAGGTGGACCTGCTCCAGACACGGGCTGAGAGGAGACACAGGAACAGCTATCAAACCTGTGCTGGCAGGAGAAAGTTCAGATCTCTACATAAATAGTGCAGTGTGGACAGCACATTAAAGTGAGGAGGATGAGGAGCCGTGGCAGGGCTTTCATGTGCCTCACAATTTATGACTTACCATGTGCTTGCTTTTTCACTACTAGTTACTACAGGGGGAATCCAGTCCTCTGTGGAGAGATTTTAGTAATAGTCTTTTTGATGGCAATATAGAAACAGCATGAAGCTTTTACAGTAGAATATACTGTATGTGTTCATGCTAGATCTTGGGCTTTTTTAAATGATCAGATATTTATTTCATTTTTTCTGCAGGTGTGGTTTCAGAATCGCCGGGCAAATGGAGAAAACGAGAACGCTTTGGTCAAATGCAGCAGGTTCGGACACACTTCTCAACAGCCTATGAGCTTCCTCTTCTTACACGGCCAGAAAACTATGCACAGGTAAAGTGGAGCTCACATGTGTTTTAACAGATAGTTTACATGAGTACTTGACATTCATAACAACACGGGTAGACTGGCAACATAATTGCCAGGTTATCACAACAAATCTGGCTCAATAATATCAAAACTCAAATATGCCACTCCCATTAGTAAAATAAATATTTGACATATATGTATTATACACAGTCACACAGTTTCAGAGTTTTTAAAATTAATGTATATTAGTAAATATAAAGATTTTAGTTTCATTAATAAAATACTGTTAATTAATTTTTTTCTGCTGAAAATAAAAAATAAAATAAGCTATTCTGAAGAATGATAGAAACTTATAACCACTGACTTCCATATTAGGAAAAACAAATTCTATCAGTTATTACTGGTTTCCAACATTTTTCAAGATATCTTTTTTTTGTAGTCAAAAGAGACGTGTTTTTTTTTTTTTTTTTGGACAGAGATGGCAAATACAGTTATACTTGACCAAAAGGACTGCTAAAACTGTAAGCTAATTTGTAGCCAAAAAGACAGCATTTTAGGTTTAGGTTTTATTGTGGATTTAAATGTAAATTTTGTCTATTTTTAAAAGTATTGGTTGAGGCACCATTTAGACACTGGTACTGGTACTATTTATACACAGCGTCAGCAAAAAATAAAATAAAAATAAATATAATTAATAAATAGGTTGCTGCATAAAACCATTTAGAAGAAATCGAGCACAAATGAATTAACAAAATTATTAGATAAAAAAATGTCAAAATGAATAAAACCGTTTCCTTAATGTTTTTGAAATGCACACGAATATCCATAAATGACTGATTTAATTTAATATGTTTTGCATTTATTTTCCCAGGTTTTTTATTATTTTTTTTTTCTAGAAATTTGTATTTGAATATGCAGCAACTATAGTTGCTGGTGGGCTAATATGTTGTATGCACCTTTCAATATACAATTTAAATAGGAGGAGAACATTTGGCATTAAGACAACAGATTTCAACAGCTCAATTTATATTCATAAACTAATTTCTTATATTTAAAATTAGTGTTGTGTCTTAAATTGTGTAATAAAAGTATCCTATAATTCAAAGACATTAAGTTAATAAGTTATTTTTAAAAAAGATACTTTGCAAAAAACATCAAACAAGACCAATAACCTTAATTTCTTAACTATTCCCTAATTTCCCATGTTTTATGTACTTACAAAGGAAATTTGCCCACCAGCAACCATAGTTCATGAATCTAGAGACTTTTATGATTATGTTCATATATATATATATATATATATATATATATATATATATATATATATATATATATATATATATATATATATATATATATATACATATTTTTTTTACGTGAAATTTGCAATTATTTAGAAGGGTTTGCCTCCATTTTTTATCCTGGAATTAGGGGTAGGAAGTTAAGAGCCTCACATGACAGAAAGGAAATCAATTGTTTTTTATTTCTTGAATCTTTTATTTCGTTGTTTTCTTGCATGCCATTAAGAAATTAAACATCGATAACATGTCGAAAATTACTTATAAAAGGAAAATGGCAACTATGAGCTTTGGCCATTATAGTTGCCGGTGGGTTTAAATGGGTTAAAATAAAACCCATATAGTTACAGTACTGACTTTTTCTAAATACATTTTATTCTATCATTGTTATTTTATTAAAATTGCATAACACAATTAGTTCTGAACATTTTAAACTTGAACGGTCATAATGGTCAAATTGATCTCATGCATTTCACTAGTCCACTATATTTGTTCTTGTGCCTTTGAGTAAGTGTGTTCTGTTGCCTAGCAACTTCCTGCTGAAAAAAAAAAAACATTTTTACAACATTTCACTTAATGGACGAAGTGATGTACACACCTTTGGTAGCAGTCTAGTAACTAACTGGCAAAGATTGCTAGAGGCGAAATGGTTGTGCCCAACTGAGCCTGGTTTCTCTCAAGTTTTTTTTTTCCTTCACTTTTGCCAATTGGTGAAGTTTTGTTTCTTGCTGCTGTCGCCTCTGGCTTGCATGGTTCTGGACTTGTGGAGCTGTGCATCGAGGGATTTGCTCTTCAGTGTTTGGACTCTCAGCAGTGAGAATTAACCCAAACTGAACAAAACTGAACTGAAGTTAAACTCTGAAAACTGGACCGACACAGTTTCAGTTAACTATAATCTTCCATACGAAGCTGCATTGACACAATCTACATTGTAAAAGCGCTGTAGAAATATAGGTGAATTGGATTGAATTGAATTTCTATGCCTCATGTTTTGCCCTTGCGCAGCGTAAGCTCGCAGTTAAAAAAAAAAAGATGTCAACTATGAGCGGAAAAAGCATGTTATGTCAGTTGAGTCTTTTTCATTCTCCAATCAAGTGG